AGGTCCCTTCCGACCCTAGAAACTATGAAACTATACCTGAAACAAAAAATAAAAATTCTAGAGAGCTTTGGCATACCACCTGCATAAAAGGTCTTATAGAAGAGACCACCCACAATTTTAAGTCCCTGCTAGGTGCCCAGATAACAATCATGATTTGACAATTTGTGAAGAGCATATCATGCATCTTATATGGAAATCTGTAAAGAAAAAGACCTGAAGTAAGCAGCTAAAGCCATGCTGCATGAAATGAGCCTCAACAACCTCAAGCTTTGAGCTGCAGTTTTTCCAGATGTATAGAAATGAATAATACAATCAGATAATCATTTAAACATGGATTTCATCAACAGGTAGAATTTATTATTATGAACCAATTCTGCATTAAATATTTTACAGAACAACTTCTCCATCTCTTCATATAGCTGGAGTACAAGAGTTCAAATAGTTATATGGCTTTTGGTTTGCTCCAGATCAAGGTTTGGCAAAAATAGCCTATAAACAGCGTTCACTGAAAGCTTATAACATTCTAAGTACTGCTGTAATGCTAACAAATTACTGTTGTTATTCTGTTGTATAAAATGAAAAAGAGAAAAATTTATAAGACACCTCAACATGCCACTGCCTATACACCCAATGAAAAGGAATTACAGTTTAAATATTTTTAAAAGTCACATGAGCTATCATCATTTTAATAAGGTAGGAAGGGATAGATGTAAACACAGATGTAAAATAGGAATTCTTACCTTATAAGATTCAATGCAAGGTAGACAGTTAAGATATAAAACAAATCACGAATTGTTATATACTCAAATGTTTTTTCAACTATTACAATTCCAAAGATAATAAATATCAGACAATGAGCCAAAAATGTTAGCATTGCCCAGAACCTGCATGAAAAGAAAAATATACAGGTAAATATAAAACAGCACCATTGGTAAACAATACCTTCATTTCAGAATTAGTATTAATGTATTGGTTATTTTCAGCCTTCTGTAGATGTAAGAACTTTTCAACACTGCTCTCATCATCATGTGTTATTTACTGCTACAGGATACTATCATTGCAGTCAAGAATGTAAGAGTTAAAAAGGGATTGGAAATTTATGTGGGAAATAAGAACATCTCAAATTATAATAGCAAATGCTATAAAAAGCATTGGAATGGATTTAAAACTTCAGACTTTTTAAGTCCCAAAGTGAATCTTGAGTTATTTGGAGACTTCTTTGAATAACAGATTATCCCACATCTTCCTACTATTTATGCCTTCTTTAATGGCATCTAGGGCTGGCCATTGTCAGAAATAAAAGGCATTTATACATGTGCTCCAGGGGGTGTGGAGGGGGGCACTTTAATTAGTGCAGCTCCAACAGATGTGCTAATTAAAAGCTCCTGGAGTGTCACATGTATCAAAGTTCCCGTGCTGAACAATGGCGGTGGGGCACTTTGAACTAAAGCTCTTTGAATAAGCTTTAAATAAAAGCACCCTGCCGCCATTTTGCATTGCAGGGATGCTGATACACATGACACTGGAGTCTGCTGGAGCGTGGTAATTACTAC